GTATGAGAGTACTGACTGACTATTGACCTAATAAGCAATGGTTATTAACATACAGTAATTTGATCAGGTTCAAGTGGATATGGTTGTCCCTGACAGTTTTTTTTCTGTAAATGTACAGTTTGTGTGTCGGCACTCCTTGTTCCAATAATATAAAATATGTGACTCTTATAGCTTAAATTATAAACAGAAAAGCCAAATCTCTAGAATTCATAGAAATGAAAGTAGAAAGTAGCATTTTTTGGAACCATGCCTTTTCACAAATATAAATGATGGTAATTAGAAAATTAAGTTTAATAATTCATTCATCCATCTAACAGTTCCTATCTACTATATTCCCAGCACTTTTTTAAATACCAGGAAAATATCAGTGAACAGACTAAATTCCTCTAACTGAGCGTGCATTCTTAGTTGGGCGGAGACAGTTAAAAGTATGTATATCATATCAGATGACATTAAATGATAAAAAAGAGAAAAAGTCAGGGAATAAATTCAGAAACGTATGTGTAATTATGTGTATGTGGTTGGTTAGCGAAGGCCTCTGTGAAGGAGAGCCCTAAATAAAGGGAGGCAGCAGCCATGCAGATAGCTGTGGCAAAGGAAAGCAAATAGGAAGGTCCTGAGTCAGGAAAGGTGCCAAAGAATGCTACTTCCACGTTTGAGAAACAGTGTGGCCAATCTGACAAGGGGTAAAATGATGACATTCTGATTTATGACTAAAAAGTGATTCAAATTAACTTAATAGGCTGGCTCAACAGGAGTACATATAATGGAAGCTGACATTTTTATAATCTTAATTCTGATATTTCAGATTGGGAAAGTAGTTGCATTTTTGTACTGTCTTCCTGTGTTTGATTGATATTGATAGATAAGTGATACCACTTATTTATTCAAGAAATACCATGAGTCTAGTATGTGCCAGGCGTTATATAGTGACATAATTATTGAAGTTAAGAGTGAGCTTTTATTGCCACATAAATGAATGTGATCTCAGGATGTCAACAGTCCCCATTCATACTAGAGATAATTTAAACAGTCTTCCAGTCACTGTATTTAACAGTCGTCCTTGGTTTGCGACGACCTCTGCGAGTTTCTTCATCTGCTTTATAAGTATTTAATCAGGAAGATGGAATTGAGGGTTACCATAATGTATTTGCCACAAGAAGGTTTTGCATCTAGCCATGCGGCTCCTTTATTATGTTACTGTTACTATTTTGAATTTATGCTTTCAAAATTCAAATGGCTTTGTTTGCATTTTGAACTTCCATCTTGCTCTAGATAGTTGAAGAATATCAATAATTGTTGTTGAGCTGCATGGATGGAGGGATAAAATAAATCAGGGTTTTGAAAACAATGGCATATATTTGTTTCGCAGAATCCTTTTTTAAGCACAACAATATTTCTCATGTTCCAGTCAGTGGATAGATAAATATTAATAGACATTTAATGTTGAGGGAGGGTTGAAAATTGCCTTTAATTTCTAGTTGTTGGAAGAGGAACTTTGTAGGTCAGTTCTTTCTAAAGTGTTCATTATGAGGTTGTAGACGAAAAATAGTGGCTTCCAAGACCAGGTTCCAGGGTGTAATATAATGCTAACTCTCAGAATCAGGGGGAACTTCTGAAAAATGTACATGACCGTTGTCTTTGGTTTCTTCCCTGGCCCAAGATGTCAGTGTACCAGTTGGTGGGAGTGGTGATGCTGTAGAGAGGAAGATGGACACATTCATTTTCGGGGGAAAAACTTTTACTTTTTTATTTTTAGAGGACGTTTGTTAAGGCTGGGGACAGTGAAACAAGGAAGGGCGTTGAATAGAAGAAGCAACAGGAGAGGGCCTAGGTGGGGAAAGGAGCCCGGGCCGAGCTGCTTTGGCTCACTGGGAAGGCAGAGAAAAGGGGGCTTTGGGGACAGGCTCAGGGGGTTAGCCTGGGATGAACTGCTGCTGCCCACTGCTCCCATGGTTGCGAGCCTCGCGGGATCCCTTAGGGTTTAGGAGATGCGTGCTTATGGGGGAAGAAGAGAGGAAGGGAAAGGTGCAGGCCTGCTCCCCGGTGGGAGAGTGTGTGCTGGGACCTTCATTTGAGGGTTTTTAAAGGGTGGGAGTTTAGGGGAGGTCTTAGGGCAGGATCTTAATAGAATATTCATCAGTTTTATGCTGATGTGCCATAATGAGATTTATTCCCTTAACATCATCTGTCCTTGGGTGTGGTTGGCACAAATGGCACTAATTGGATTCCTGTTACCTATCTCCCTGAGTAAGGTGATTTAAGCTATTTACCCTCTGGTCGGGGACAAGTATAAACCATTTTCTCTTAAGTGTCCTAGGTTACAGAAGATAGGATTTTGTGATTTACTAGATGGCTGTAAACTGCTTGGCCATTTAACTGTCTGCCTCAGTTTCCCTATTCTGCTTGTCCTGGCTTAGTAGCCTGTCTCATTCCCCCTCAGAGACTTCCATTCCTGAAACCTTTTATGGATGATGGGGGAGGATGGTCTGCCTTCAGTAACAGCTTCCTGCTGACAAGGATCATGGTCCCTGCCTGTGTAGGGCATGGAAGTCTCTCCCTGCCTGATCTAAGGGAGACAAGGGAATGGGATTTGAGCGGAACAGAGAGGCTGTTAGCTGATTCTTCCAAGGTAGGGATGGGCTGGAATCTATGAAGTATCATCTTCTTGATACGGAATTGGTATATCCTAGAGGTGACAAATTGGGCAAGAAGGTTAAAAAGGCATGGCCTAAAAATGAGGGGAATTATAGTAACTGAAGGTCTGAGGAAAGGTGAGAACAAGGTGATGGAGGGAGGGACCCACTTTCCAGTGTCCCAGATTAAGTTGGTGGAGCCGCTTCCCTGCACGAAAGTGTGTCACCTGCCTGAAGCCCTTTTGTTTACTATACTTAATTCAAATTAGGCTGAGGGGAACATTCTAAGATCTTCCTTCTGAAGCATCTTCTTTCCACCTGAATGTCTTGGGCAGGAAAGAAGCAGTTTCAAGGTGGCAGAACCTTGGTCCCTTCAGTCCCACCTTTTAAATAATAAAGTTGACATTCTAGAAGTGAAGTTGGTAGATTGCTTCATATTTCATTGACTCATTTAGGATGTAGTCCTGAAAATAAGTCAGTTCAGCTAAATTGTCGTCTCACTTCAGGAGGTGGTGATGCAGATGGGCTTCCGGAGTGAGACCTATATTGTGTATGCAAGCAGTTAGGTAAATAAGGTGTGTGTCTATGAGAACAGAAAACCCCCCCCCCCAAAGGTTAATGAACACAGCAAATTATAAACTAGTTTTTGAGTGTGTAAGGTTGTCAGTTGAGGAGACTTCCAGATGCAAGGGTTCTGCTGAAATGAAATGAAGCAGTGACAATTTGATAGATCCTCTTTGCAGTTTAAAGATCTCTGGTGATGTCATTTGGTTCTCAGGTAGATTCTGTATGGCTTATACTGCACCAGTAGTTCTCAATAATTATAAGTCAAAGAATGGGGAAAAAATGAAATTTTAGTATAGAAGAAAATTAGAAAAATCAGGATCCAATTCAGTTTGTAGGTGAAAAATAAAATTGTGAAGACAGTGAACTGAATTAGAGTCTAATATCCATAACTGTGTATTATACATTCTGTTGAAACACAGTTTTCCCCCTAAGATCACCCTCATTATTATCAAAGATAACCAAATCAAGACTACTGCATTAAGTCAGTTTCAATTTGGCCTAATTATTTGCATAAACACAATAAGAATAGTAATTGATTATATAGGCTTTTAAAAATCTTCTTTGCTGGAGTCTCATAAGCTCCAGGTTGAGCTTTAATTAGCCTTCAGGGCAAAGAAGCCAAGCCACATAGTTGCCATCAGACTTTGCCTACAGTACCTATAGATTTGGGTGGATTCCTCAAGTTCGAGGTCCCCAGAATATCGTGAGGTTCTTGCCATCTCCCTGGAATGCAACCTTCGTTCCTTATCTGGAAAGACTGCCAGGGCCATGTGAATAAGCCAGGTACTAGGCCCTTTCTCCAAGGGACTCTTACCGGCTTCAAAATAAAGCTTTCTGGTGACATCCAAAGTCTAGGCGCGTGTCTCTCCATCATGACATTCCAGTCAAAGTCTTGGTTAGTAAAACCACAATTGGAAACTGGCTTTATGTGTCCTCCTTATCAGTATAATAAGATCAGTGTTCAGTATACTGTGGTTTCCCAAAATGCCTTAAATATGCTTTCATACAGAAATAGGTACTAACACTTGAAATAGGTACTAACACTTCTCATTTGAGTCTCAAATTTGTGTGGATTTAGTGGATGAAATAACCTCAGTGTTAATTTTCATCCTCACCATGAAGTAGTGTGATTGATAGGAAAGATCTTATCCCATGTCCCTGATGCTGAATTCTAATAGAGGAGGTGTAAAAACTTGGTTCTAGGACACGTAGCCAGGCTGTGAACCCAAGACTTGGGACTTTAAATCCATTACCCAGCCCACTATTGTGTACATCTTTAACTTATCTATTTCTACATATGATTCCCAAACTTAGTTGCTGAACACATAATTTATAATTACATTTTAATTCTGTAGACCAGGAATGCGGGCAGGGTTCACCAGGGTGGTGGTTCTGTGATTTGATATGGCAGGGGTCACTCATTGGGCCGCACTCAGCAGGAAGCTCAACTTCTAAGACAGCAGTTCACCTTCCAGAGCCCCTGTCAGCACGGCCTCTCGCCATTCAGTAGCCTAGCCTGGCCTTCCTCACGGCATGGCAGCTGGGTTCGGGGAGAGGGAGTCCAAGTGCTGCCTGCTCTCTTACAGCCCACACAGGCAGCTGGTGCATCGTCATATTCTGTTGGCCAAAACAACATCAGAGATTGTGGATTCTACTTACCTTCTTAATGTTCAACCAATGCCAAACAGTGTGAACATACCATAAATTATAAATGTCAACACTTTTACCTAGTTATAGATTTAATAATAGTAAGTTTGCTTTGATAGAGGTAATAATAGACATCTTTCAAATTTTCAGTTTACATAAAGTTCTAATGGATCTCCAGAATCAGCAACTGAAAGAATTAAATGACTGGCTAACAAAAACAGAAGAGAGAACAAGGAAAATGGAGAAAGAGCCTCTTGGACCTGATCTTGAGGACCTAAAACGCCAAGTACAACAACATAAGGTTAGTATATGTTATGCTTTTTCCTTTCTACTGGAAAACTAACTATGTGTAAGTGTATCAGCTACACATGGATGTACACACATTGTGGTTTACAGATAGGAAAGAATTAAAACTCCAATCAAGAAGAGTTTTAAAATCATTCTTGCCTAATATTTTTTGAAATGTTTATTTTTCAAATACAACATAAATAGGTTTTTCATATTTGAGTAGAAAATTCAAACATATTCCCAGAAGAGAACAAAATTGTGTATTACAATTTTGATTTCCTAGAAGAGAGTGTCTGGAGGGATTACCTGCAATGCAAATTTAAGTAATAAGACAAGATTTTTAAAAATATTTTTTTACCTTCAGTTTGTAATATCTTAGAGCAGGCCAAGTTTGATGAAAAATGAACAATTGTAAGATTGCTTTCCTATAAAATACAACATCTATTGATTTTAATATTTCCAGCTTATCTTTCTTCAGTTTGTTTGTACATTTACAATTATGCTTCCTGCCTGGCAGAAAGAATTTATTGTTTCTCTCATTAGGATTTCTATAAGAATATTTCTGATCTGAAATTTTGAGGGAGCTTCATTTTTATAATAATCATAAAATTAGCTCTGGACCTTGCCCAGTTCATCAGGATACACACATACAGAAGAACCTTCATGATTGGCCCAGAATTTGGGTTTCCAGGTTTAGCAAATAAAAATATAAGAAGTGTAGTTAAATTTGAATTTCAGATAAACAACTAAGATTTTTCTAGTTCAGTATGTTTCAAATTACTCATTCTTTTAAAATTTATAGTTTACTGGGCATCCTGGATTTTATCTGACTTTACTCATGATCTGTGGTTCTTAGATTTATGGGTGTTTTTTTGGTGTGTGTGTGTTTTTTAAAAATATATCTTTATTGATTTCAGAGAGAGGAAAGGAGAGGGAGAGGGAGAGGTAGAAACATCAATGATAAGAGAATCATTGATCGGCCGCTTCCTGCATGCCCCCACTGGGGATCGAGCCCGCAACCTGGGTATGAGCCCTGACCGGGAATCAAACCCTGATCTTCTGGATCCTAGGTCGATGCTCAACTGCTGAGCCATGCCCGGCGGGGCTAGATTTATGGTTTTTAAAGGAAATATCTGCTGTCCCAACTCAAACCTCCTAAATCTACATCTCACCCAACTTCATTCTCTCCTTTTATAGTGTTGTCAGAACTAGCTTCACAGTTCTTCTGTGTAGATAAAAGATGCCCTTCTTTCTAAGTTCTTTCTTGTTTAATGAGTTTTCAGTTTCAATGGCACATGAGACTGGCCCTTGCTAATATGGCCCTCAAACCTGTATATTGGCCACAGAAGTTTTAAGATCAAGCTGTTTAAGGAGAGCTATAGCTATGGCATTCCCCATCTACTACTCCACTAGGAAGGAAAGCATCAACTGTATTTTAATCTTCATTAAAAGATGTGAGTAGGAGAGGTTAACCTATCACATAGATTTTAATTGAACATCTGATAAAGCAGTTAGATTCAGTGCTAGATCTTGAAATGGACCCCCCCCTTTTTTTTTTTTTAATCTTTATTGATTTCAGAGAGAAGAAAGGAGAGGGAGAGAGAGAGACAGAAACATCAATGATGAGAGAGTCATTGATCGGCTGCCTCCTGTGCGCCCCCCACTGGGGATCGAGCCCGCATCCCGGGCATGTGCCCTGACTGAGAATCGAACCTTGATCGCCTGGATCCTAGGTCGACGCTCAGCCGCTGAGCCACACTGGCCGGGCTCCAACTGGACCTCTTCTGGGTGGATCCTGCATTCCCCTGGTAGACTCTGTGCCCACTCTCTTCCCCTTGGCCTTCACTGGCAGTTTCGTGCAGTTTCTGTATACACCAGTGGCTTCTCTCTGAGGGCATTTACTGGCTATGGGAGAGTCTCAGCCAGTTTGAAGGTGGGCAGGAAATGGAGTTAGTGTTGCCAGAGCTGCCATTAACAACAAAAGGTGGGAGATGATGGATAAATACCCCAGAATCCTTGCCAAGATGCTTCTTAGTTCTTACAGTCTCTCAGAGGTTTCCCAGCAAGACTGGACCCCTGATGTCCGTGGGGTAACCTGTCTCACATTTCCACCCTCTCATAATGTCCTCTGACATTATGAGATCACTTGCCAAATAAACTCTTTGTACCTAAGTCCTTGACTCAGGGCCTGTTTGGGAAGGAATCCAACCTATGACAATCTTCTCACCCCGGAAGCGAGAATACTGTTCCAGCTTTACCACTAACTAAATGTGTGATTTTTAGAAATTACTTAATCTCTCAGGTTCTCTATCTCTTCACTTTGGAAATAATTGTGAGCCAGTTGGTTTCTAGTGTTCCTTCCAGTCATGATTTTAATGTCTCCATTAGTTTTGGACTGTGAGGCATTTCAGGAAAGGGCAAGACTAAGGTTGGTATCATTGAATGTCAGAGGGAAGGATGTTGGCACTTGATGCCTGGAGTCTAAGAATGAAGCCAGTAAGACGGACTCCAAAAGAGACACGACAGAAGAATGGTAGGGCAGCCAGAAGTGTGAATGACTTAAGGCAACTATGAGGAAAGGTCTCAGTTTGAAACTCTAAATAGATTCTATTGAGGTCAGACAGGCCACCCAAGATCTTCAAATCTGACAATTACCTGAAAGGATTTATACTTTCCTCTGGAAGATATAGAGTGAATGGAATGGAAAATAATTGAATAATACTGTCATAAAATTTGAATAGATTCTATTACTTGAAAATTTGCCATTTCTGATGAATATGAAATTGTTTTCAGGAGAACAATTTGAAACAAAAACAATGGAACAGAATGATACGCAAGTTGATTGTGTAATCGTGTACACCCAAGACTTACTCAGATAAGTGCATAAAAGGAAGCAGATGAAATTGGTTTGCTGGCTCAGAAAGTGAGGCCACCTTTCACCTTTAACTGTTTCAACCCACTTCAGAATTGATATTTTTAATAAAATTAAGACAAGGAAACCACAGCCAAAAGAAAGCCTGCCAATTGATAATACTTGGTGTTACTCAAATTAATTACGGTGAAAAGAAAATGATTTAGCAATATCAAACAATTTATAAAGGAGTGAAATTTCTTTAAATGTGAAATATGTATATTTTCTTAAAACTTCACACTACCGGGAGTGAATTTTTTGTTAGCCTTGTCATGCTTCATAAAACAGAATATACATTTTCTTTCTTTATGTAACTGAGTTCAATCTAACCTTATTTAAATAGCAATCGGTCCACTTTGCAGCTTTTATTCCCAAGAATTGTGAGTGAATAAAAATTAGATAATGTCTCCCTTTGACAACAAAATGCATCAGTAGCTTTGGGGTAGTCTGAAAAGCTGCCCGTTCCGCTGTATGACCACTTCTCACCTAATGTGACGTTTAGGTTTTTTTTAGCTTGGTATTGATATTAAAACCTGCTTAATCTTCACTTTTTTCCCTAAGAGATGATTACAGATGACAAAATGAAAAGATACAGGTTTTGCTACTGGAAAAAAAATTTAAATTCTGCTCAGATCAAGAGGGTACGTATGGGTGCGCACACTCTCTCAAAATAAAACTTCACATCTCTCAAGTATACCATGAATATTACAGATATGCTCCTCTCTGTTCTGTGATAAGATCCTTTGCTCTCTTCATTTCAACAGCATTTTATTACAAGGCAGACTAGAAATGGAACCGCTGTGAAATGCTGTGGAGATAAATCACTTTTACTGAATTTGCCAATTAGGCAAGGTAAAGCAGTCGATCCTATATTGGTAGTTACTATTAAATCTAGCCAAATTGATAACTCTGGGTAACTGGAAAAAGTTCGATTTGCTGACAGATTTGGAAGAGACCATTCATTCTTTTTTTTTTTTTAAATCCTCACTCGAGGATATTTTTCCATTGCTTTTCAGAGAGAGTGGAAGGGAGGGAGAGAGAGAGAGAAACATCGATGTGAGAGAGACACATAGATTGGTTGCCTCCTGCATGAGTCCCAACCAGGGCCACGGATCGAGCCTGCAACCGAGGTGCCCTTGACCAGGATGGAAACAGAGACCCTTCAGTCCCAGGGCCGGCACTCTAACCACTGAGCCACACTGGCTAGGGCAAGACCATTCATTCTTCATCACTATTGCTTTGGAGAGAATTTAAAGCTTCACTTTAGATAAGAGTCGCTTAAAAGTGATTCTCTGGGGAGTGAACAAATTGAGCCTCTTGTTCCCCTTGTGAAAGAACTTGTCAGAAATAATTGGTTGGTTATTTCTGTCTTAAGAGACAGACTTTATTAGTAATGTTGATAAGGAATGAAAGGATTTCCCTCGAAGTGACAATATTATTGAGCAGAAGTCTATTGTGGGCTTGAACATTCATTAATGGAAAAGAAAATTTGCTATTTTGGAGGCTATTTTAATCAAAAAGAAAATATTTGACTGAGGAATCTTTTGTTTCATAGCACAGTCCGACTGAGATAATGTTTAAAGCTTAGTTTACTAGCTATGTTTTCAGTTCTTTTGAGAGATTTAGATTTTTTTCATTAGCTCCATTAGCTGTATAACAGCATCAGCAAAGTCCTTACCGTATAGGCTATTAGAATTTGTAGATATAAATGGACATTTGCACTATATTCTGACTTCAGTGGATGGTCTATGTTAAGTACTGATGGTTAATACAAATTAAATTACTTCTTAGAAGTTCAGTCACCTATCCTTTCCTTGAAGCTTAGTTAATCTCAAAGATTTGGGTTGCTAAGACTGTGAAATATCCTCTTCTGCTGACCTTTAAAATGATCTAGTTGTTCTTGTAATGGGGAAAGTTTAGGTGTAATCCTGCTAAAGTATTTGACATTTCATTTAATTCTATTGCATTCTATTCTATATCACTGAATAAACACTTATAAAAGCACAATGGGGCTTTGAAGAATATGGAGGTCTACCATATATGAAATCTTCAAGAAGCTCACATTCAAGTACATTCGATAAAGACACAGAAAACAAGCGAGC